CCTGCTCTATGTACAGATCATTGCTGAATCGTTTTTTGTGAGAAGGAAACACACCACAGTGTGGCACAATGTACATACCAAGCAATGTCCCAGCGCCGTAGGAAGAGTGCGGCGATTGAGGCACTTGCTTTGGGAGCAGCTGCAAAGGGGGTGCAGCAAGGGCCGGATCTGGACCTGTTGCACCTGGTGCCCAGCGAAGGTAAGAGGTGGGCAGGTGCTTTGGGATCTGGATGCAGTGCTGATCGCCTCACATTACCTTCTCACTCATGTGCAGCTCTGCCGCTTCTTGGCTGGTCCCCAGGTGTGGGGGGAGTTGAGATTGGCTGCAGTGCTGATCGCCTCAGCTTACCATAGAGGCAACCAGCGGACACACACATGCAGTGCCGCTCGTATTGGTTGGTTACCAGGAGGGGAGGAGTTGAGGGCGGCTGCAGTGCTGATCGCCTCAGCTTACCATAGAGGCGACCAGAGGACACACACACGCAGTGCCACTTGTATTGGCTGGTTCCCAGGAGGGGAGGAGTTGAGGGCGGCTGCAGTGCTGATTGCCTCACTTATTGGCGGATGCCCGGAGTTCCCAGCCGGCAATTGGCTGTCAGCCAATGCTGCTTAAAGCCAGCTGAAAACTCCGTGCACCAGCCAAAGAAGCATCACACCTTTGACCCTCACGTGTCCCCTCACTCTATACCCAGCATGTGAAGCTAAAAAGTGCTGAGAGATGGCAAGGAAGACTTGGGGATGAAGGAGACATGGGAATTAACTAAATACTGTATTTAATTGGGAGAATTTTCTGCCATAACCTGCTCCATCCCCTCATGAAGTAAGAAATTAGTATCCTGTACGTGTAGTTAGCCCTTAAATTCAGGGAATTATATGATGCTTGGCAAAGATATATATGTACAACTCCACTGATCTGGATCACAAGAGGAATATCAATGCTGACGCATTGGAAGTATTTTCTGCCATAACCTGCTCCATCCCCTCATGAAGTAAGCGATTTGTATCCTGTATATGTAGTTAGCACTTAAATTCAGGGAATTTTATGATGCTTGGCAAAGATATATAAGTACAAATGCACTGATCTGGATCACGAAGAAGAACATCAATGGTAACGCATTGGAAGTATTTTCTGCCATAACCTGCTCTATCCCCATCAGCGCTTTAAAAATCCCTTTTACTTCTCTTTGCTCTGTCCCCATCTTCAAGTGATCTTTGCTCTGTCCCCATCTTCAAATGATCTTTGCTCTGTCCCCATCACCGCTTAAAAATCTATTTCAATCAATCAAAATCATTAATTTCCTTGTTATTTAGTTACTTACCTCAAAATAACCTGAGGGGAGCACAATTTTCTGTTCTTGCCTTGGGCGCAAAAGGAGCTAGCTACGTCTCTGCTGCAAAACCACCAAACCGTAAACAACTCAGTTTATAATAACAGGCTAATAAATCTTTTCAGTTCCTTTTGGCCCTTTTCACCATAATCTATTGGGTCTCATTCAACCTAACCAAAATACGTGTTTCCTTTACATATTTAGTACATTTGTACAATACATGCACATTTCCCATGGCTTATCCCTTTAAACACACTACAAGTGCAGAAAATGAACTGTTGATGTGCCAGAAATGTAGCTGCTCATACTGTACCTTCCTCTTTGATATAACAACACAGAAAAGGAAATTTATCAAAAATGGAGGAGACAAATTTGGGAGCAGTTGCCCATAGTAGCCAATCAACTTCTCTTTAGTTTGTTCAGTTAAGATTTAAAGGAGAACTATGGGGTCAGTGTTTTTCCCCATAGTTCTCCTTAGGGTAACTAACAGGAGGACACAAACTAGCGTCCTCCCGTTACCCTAAGCTCAGTATACCGCGAGCTACAGCTCGCGGTATACTGAGACGCGTCAGCCGGAGCGGATCCCGACGTAGATGACGGGATCCGCCCAGCTGCGTGAGTGACAGCTGGCTCTGCCTATCTAGAGGCAGAGCCAGCTGTACCCGCCCCCTCCCCTGTCCGTTCCGCCAGTCAGCACTGGCAGATCGGAGCGGGGGAGAGGGGAATCCAGCCCCTCCCCCTGTCACGGCAGAGAGCCGTGACAGGATCGAGAGGTGAGCGAACGCCGGTATGTGTTCGCTCACCTCCCGATCTACTGAGCCGACCTGTGACAGTCTCATTGTCACAGGTCGGCTAGAACTATGAGGTGAGTGAAAAGCACTCACCTCATAGTTCTCCTTTAAAACTGAAAGATAGAAGACTGGTTGCCACGGGCAACTGCTCCAGATTCTCTCTGCTCCAGTTTTGATAAATTCCCCTCAGTGTGTCTTCATGTCAAAGAAGAAGGTACAGTACGAGCAACAATATTTCTATATTCTATATGTCAGCTCTGCATTTCTAAGTATGTGGTGTCAGCCATGCCTACTTAATTTCTGTTGGATTACAAAGAACACAGACCTCTTATCATCTCCTCCCCTCCTTATCTCCATAATCCCTCCTTGTGCACTGACAAAGAGCAAAATAAGGAAGTTGACAGCACAGTGGCTTAGTAGTTAGCACCTCTGCCTTACAGCACTGGGATCCCCAATTTGAAATCCCGGTCAGGCACTATCTGCATAGAGTTTGCATGTTCCCCCTGTGTTTTCATGGGTTTCCTCAGTGGTACTTCAGTTTCCTCCGACACTCCAAATACATGCTGGAAGGTTAATTGGTTCCTGTCTATTCCATGTGTGCAATAGGGACCTTTGATTGTAAGCTCCTTGAGAGCAGGGACTGATGTGAATGTGCTGTGTAGATTGTTGACGGTACATAAATGCCTATAATAAGTAAGTTATCACAAGATTTCAGGTGTTTTTGCTCTTATTGAATAGATATAACAAAACACTTTCAATTGTGTTTTTAGCAGACCAAATGGGAGCAAATAAGAGAAGTTAATTGTCAGGGTTTACATACACTTTAAGAATGTATTTCTGCTCATGGAAAAAGAAGAGGGTTAAGAAGATGAATCCCTATTTTCCATTCTATTTCTTTTATATTCCATAAATGATAACAATTGTACTGCACTCTAAAACTAAAAAGTGATACTAATCGGCAAAAAATAGTACAACACCTTATCGAACTGTAAGTGTATTCTAAAATAAGTGAAGACTAAATCGAATTACCACATTCTTAATTGCAAAAAAAGAAAAAACTGTCCCAGGGCAATTGCAAGTCATTGTTGTAATTTACTGCTTAGTTTATTAACCTAGTAATTTCATTATATGCTCTGTTCCCATAGAGCTGTACAGAAACTATGCTGCACTTGCCATCTAGTGTCCCCCCAGAGTAACAGAGGCATTGCTGTTACTGTTAGGTGCTCCTGTCTGCATAGCTTTTTTAATCTGTTTAACATAGTTCTATACTTAATCCACAATCATTGCCTTTCTGACCCTGTTGTATTGTTAACTTTACTCTGCACCTATTTACTAAAGTCCATCTTAAAGCCTTCTCTGTCTGATCATTTGGCTGATTCCTCCCTGTTACAGAGCTATACATAGGGATGAAATATCGCTATCTGTTGTCTATGGCACCGTACTTCGCTATACACACCGTGGCCCATCCCATTTATAAAAATTAGGCTGCAGTGTCTATCCAGAGAACGCTCCAGGATTAAGGGAGAGATGTTTTGTAACTTTGACAGGTCACTTGATCGTGCTCTCCTCCCGGCTTTTTTTTAACAGAACTTCAATTCAGGTATGTTGCATCCCTCTGGCTTTATAGGCCTAAAGTTGGCAGAGTTCAGAGCAGAATTGTAAAGTACATATGCCAGACTGCTGATTTTTCAATAAGCCCTTTATTGTTTGGTGAGATAATATAAAGGGATACTGATAAAGTGTAAATATTCGTGATAAGAGATATGGTGAAATATAAATAGGAGACTTGTACCAGAATGTGGCATTCTCCAGTCAAGACCTTGCAATTTCCTTGCAAATATCGGAGCCAGTGCTTTCTGCATGCATCGCTCGGCTCTATATGTTGCAATGAGTGCTTTCCCATCATTGTCCATGCAACTAGCTGCATAAAGTTCAACACACACAATACCATATTTTTGTACATTCTCATATAGCTCTACCAATAAGTATGTAGTACATGGTCCTGCCTGATTGAAATATTCCCATGTAACAGAGCTGGTACTTGGTGAGAAGCCCCATGCCATCACATGGGGATGAGAAGAGAGTCCTCAGCCCTGTGTAAGCTTCAAGTAGAAAAACTTGGAGTTTACATTGCGCAATGGAGAGTGAAGAGAAGGTGACTATCTGCTGTTGGGGAGAGATGCATTACAATTAACCAATTGATTTGCTCTACATGGGCAAAGCACAGGCTTGCTTTAGGGCCTATCTCCAGCTATTTGTCTCTTTGAATAGGTCCAGCCCTTGTCCTGTATTAGAAAAAGGTTTGCCAAGCACTATTCCCCATCTTAACAATCTAGTGCTGCCCCTACATCATCCTTCATCCTGCACCGCTGGTCTGTTCTGGGTTGAGCAATGCTCAGGGTCATTCAAGTGGCTTCCTGTCCTGTGCTGTCTGGAGCTCCCCAAAAAAATTCTGCAGAAGGGTGCTCTCCGTTCTCTGTGGTTTTCAGGACCAGCTATTGCCAGGGGAGTGAAGAAGAGTAAAAGGAACCCCAGCATCATGTGACAGGACAGAAGGAACGTTTAAAATGTTTGTATACTAAATGTGAAAAAAGGGAGGCTCTAGGGATGAACCGGACTGGGAGATGCCCATTGTGAAGCTGGGCCTTAAGCCCCTCAAACAGCTCATGTCTTGTGGATAGCCACACAAGTAGCTGATACACTACATTCCTGAGGCTCTAGTTGCTCATCCTGTGTACATGTGAGCCTGCCAACAAAACGCACACTATTCACAGGACTTGAGGAAACACTGGAATAAGACAAAGATGAGATGCATGAATAAATTGTAAAAATATTTAGATGGAAAAAACAAAACAAATCAGTAACCATTTAACTTCCACTGTTCATTCTTCACTTGACTAGTGCGTTTATTAGAGTAAAGCTGCAGACCAGTAGCTGGAACAATGTAGGAATCTGAAAGGTCAAAAAAAAAACCCCATTAGAAATTAACCCTTTCCTGCTGGAGCCATTATTTATTTATTTATCTATTTTCATTTTAATTTTTTTGGATCAAATGCAGATTTGTTTTTACATGAAAATGCACTTAAAGCTACAAAACATTATTTTCTGAAAGCAGAGCACCTACAATGAAAACATGGTAATTGCATTTTTTATGTCACATGATCTAAATTGAGACTTAAAATATGTAGAATTGCTTTAAGATCATATATTTTTGAACCAAACCCTGGATCAGCACTTTTCAGCACCACCATGTGAAATCTCCCAGGGTTTTTTATTTCACAGCATAGATTGTTATAAAAAAAATAAAAGTAATACATTTTGCACTGCAGGCACCGGGTCTTTACGGCTATGTGAAATCACTTATTCTAGGAATTTAGATTTAACAGATTATATTTTTTGAATTCAGGTTAATGTTTAAATTTAAGGGATGGGTTAAGGGGCTGATTTATAAAAGATCCGCCCTGCATATAACTAGGCGAATGCCGTTCGCATGGCACTAGCACCATCAAGATTGATGTTTTAGTTAAGTGTTAGGGCCAGGTTAAAGGTTAAGATTAAGCTTCATGTGTATATATATAGAAGATTTTATAAAATATAGGCAGGCTAGTTTGAATTTAAGAAAAATGCAGATTATGGTTTGGTGATGTCATTGGCACCTTAATAATGGTCTTACTATGATGAGGTATATAAATTAAGAGGGGTTTTTTTTTTGTTTCCTTGTTTGTTTTTTTTGTTGTCCCTTATGTGATAGCAAAAGAAATGACATGTCCTCTTTATGGAGACATCAGGGGTCTCCGAGACCCCTAATGTCACCTAGGACCTCCCAGCAGATCTCTGCTTCATCAGCTTCTCTCCAGCGTCTGATAATGGAGAGTGACACGAGAATGCAGGAGTGATGTAATATACATCACTTCCGCATTCTGACACTGGAGAGGGGACCGGAGGGGGATCGTGTCCTGACCTCCCTCTGATCCCCTGTCAGAGAAGCACAATGCTGGTCCCGGGCTCGCACAGGGCACAGCAGAGCCCGAGACCAGCGTGACAACGAGAGGGGGGGGCCACAGAGGGAGGGGGGGCACGGGCCGGCAGCTTATACAAGCAATCTGCCGGCTCTATAGCCAGCGGATCACTTGTATGTTAACGGGCATCGCTGCCTGTTTTTAAATTGCCCGCATTTCCCGCTCGCAGGGGGCGGGGCTAACAGGCCGTGTATACACGGACTGTTACATCCAGGAAGCTCCCGGCAGGTCGTTTTTGTACAACGGCCAGGCGGGAAGCGGTTAAAGAAAAAAAAAGATTGAGCTTAATTTCAAGAGTTGCACAGAACTCTAAGGTTCCCATTCACATTACATAAGCTAGAAAACAAATATTTAAACAAGACCTCTTGCAGTTTAAATTGCTTTTACTTGGGTTAGGGTTTCTTGACTTCTTAAAATTGCTATTGCTTCCCCTTCTTTGTAATGTTAGGAGGGGTTGTGATGGATGAGGGGTGAAAGAATGACAACTCTGGCTTCCGCATTCAAATGTTAATGAAGTTAATGAGAGAAACACAATCCTCAAATTTCTGTCCTAAGTCTTTCTATGAGGACAGATCACTGTGATGGTGCTCAGAAAAAAAAACTGGAATCAGCCATGTTGCCTGCTGAAGCAAAACATCTAAAATGTAAGAAATATTTTTTTAATTGTTTTGCTGTATGCTGTGTGAATGGAAACACATAACAAACATATATTGGGGTTTTCTCAAATTTGGCTGCAATAGTAGAAATACACGTTAAGATTTAGGAGCAGATAAGATGCCTAAGGACAATTTAACACACTGTTTAATTTTCCCATAATTTCAGTGCTGAAAGCTCTATGTTGAGAACTAGCAGCAGCAGCAGCATACACATTTTTGTTGTTGACCACATATTCCAATGCATCTAATCTTGGTACAACCATCTTTTTGTTCCTGTACAGTTTTGGGTAGAAAACACAAGTGTATTTTTTTTTTTGGATCGGCTGAGTCGAACTCCTTCTGCACTTCGGGTCAGCCGAAAATGCTGAGCATGTTCGGCTGATCCGAAGCCACACCAAGCAAGCCGATATACGGCTGAAATCAGCCGTACCAGCCTGAAGTGAATAGCCGAACGGTGTTCGGCTCACTTCACTTCTGATCGGTCATTCACTCGGCTGCCCTCGGCAGCTTTGTGAATAGACCCCTATGATGGTTGTGGGTCAGTCTTTGATGCATTACAATACATTTCCTTAGCACTATGGGTTAACTAAAGAGAAATCACAGCCTGTTGGCATTAGAGACATTGCGCACAGATGTTAGCGCGGCGAGCACATTCGTGCTTGCACAAGTACACTTTTCATTGGTGTCAGATGGACTATAAAATCAGTGTGAATACTGGACCCATTGTTGACTGGTCTTTAGCTGTTCCCTGTGTTCCTGTTGCTCGATCCTATGATTCTTTTGACCTGCGTTTGTCTCCGGCTTACGTTCCTGACCTTTCTCCTGACTTCCGATTTAGGCACCTTGAACTTGGGATCAGTCTTTCCTGTGTTTGACCCCAGCTTGTGACCTCAATTCCGCTGCACCTACTAATTTGGCACCGCATCTCCATACCAGATCCTCTGTGTATGACCTCGGCTCGTGATCCCGACTACAATCCTGATCTTCCAGTGGCCCCATTCAGGATCTGCTACTTTGACGCTGTGCTCTGCCAGCCAGTTCCAGCCATAGCCTTGCTAGACTGCTCAGTCTGCTGTCAGTTCCGCCAATCACTTCCAGGTCATCGCACTCAAGTTCTGGCTGTGAATCTGTGCAAGTCACTGCATTGGCACTCGTGCTTCCCTGTGTCCTCATTCCCCCTTCAGGAGAGTCAGACGTGTGATGCAAGATTAGCCCCCTGTTTAGTCTCCTTCCAGGTATGTGACACATGGCACTAGTCACTTGTAGGAAACCATATAGAGTAAGGGCTAGTTAACACCATGTACGGAGCAGATGCAGGGCAGAGCAGTTTAAGAATGCATCAAAAACACATTCCAATGGTATTTTGGGCTCTAGTTCACACCACAGCGTTCAGTTTCCGTGCATGTGGAAAAGCTGCTGCAAGCACTATTTGTTTCTGCTCTGGAATGCACCAAAACACATGAAAACGCATAAAAAATGCATGTAAACATTCTGAAACACACTGGACCACACCTTTAAGCCCATTTCAAGCTAAAAAAAAAAAAAAAGCACCAGAAGGCATCAAAAATGCGGCAAAATGCACTGCGCTGCATATGAAAAAACACATCCAGATCTGGTCCGGATCTGGGGTGAACAAGCCCTAAATGCTGCTATACTCTATGTATTGTCCATCTTTACAAAACTATAAAAATGAAACTGGTTTATCAAAATTCATTTACCATGAGCTGGGAGCCGGCGGAATCCAGAGGTAAGACGTCACTTAACACATTCGTCCAAAACGTGTCAAATGAAGGCAACACAGTGGCTCTAAAATATAAAATGAACATCAATCAAGATGACTGAAAGGTGATTGTAACTTGAAATAAAATATAAATCATATTTTTTTCTTCATAAGGGTGTTATAGCTATTTCTGTCTATTTTACAGGTCATATGTGTTACTTCAAAGGGATTTCCCTCCATTTCCATGTAACCTTTGGTCTTATTCACAAGTGAATAGGGAAGACTCTACAGTTAAAACAGTCCATTCTACGATGATATGTTGGTTCTGGATGGGGGGAGGGGGGGGGGGGGGGTCAGCTGCTTTACAGGACAATCCGACCCCAGTGTCAGACTGAGTTTCCTATGGAGAGAATTTTCAATTTGTAGGACTCAGGCCTACCAAAAAGTCCATAAAATAATAAGAAATCCTGCAATGCGAGTCATGAAAATGTACTCATATAAACATCATCACCGCACCTCTACATTACAATAATAAATGCTAATCACTTACAAAGGTGGAAATGGACTTTAACCTTTCTCTACTCCATCCAAAACTGGAGAAAAAAAGTTTTGGCTATACATACATCTCAATATTTACCAGATTTAACTAAATTTAAAACAATTTAGAAAAAAACATATTTTTAATACCAAACATAATAGATTGAGAAAACCTATTTGTACATTACCTGAACTGTATATCGGTTTTTGTATTTGGGGGTATCCAGATGGCCTGTACAGTGGATTTTAAGCTGGCTGATGTGTGGCTCACTGCAGACTATAGGAACATGATAATTTATGAGAACATTCATTGGATATTAATAAGAAATAAGGAAAAGCAAAGTATTTGTTCTCAGCAAATATGAAGCTAAATAATAGAGTAACTCAAGTCAAAACCTATTTTTGGTTAGAGAAGAGAGGATAATCTCTGTCTGATTTTTATTGGCATCTGTCTTTGCTGGGAAGATTGAATCACAGACTGTTTATGGCCAGCTGATATTATGTCAGCAGTCCTTCAACACATATGCTAATATTCCCTGATATTTATACGGGAAGAATCCACAAATCTGTAAGTTATCATGTAAAAATGTAAAAATACCATGTAAATGTTACAATAAATACTGCAAATGTTACAATAACAATCATAATATACTATAGATTTAATTTAATCACAAACTAATCACCATTGGTGCTTATTAAACTGTAGGTTCAAAATGTAAAGGAAAGGAAAACATGGGGGCTACGGATGCTTACCTCATCTAAAAATACTTATTGCCCTGCTGTCTCTAGCATCATTCACTTCTGAGTCACTAATCCAGAACAAGCATGCAGCAGATGAGACTATTGTAATGGGCTGGTATGGTACCACATACTGTAGGTGTATGTGCAAATATCCCAAGAGGGCATGCTTTAAAGGTACCAGCACACAGCAAAAAAATAAAGTCACAATTTATTATGTAACTATGTACTATGTACTATGTAACTATTTCACAAATGCAAAATACTAACTTTTTAACCAATATTCTCACTCAACAACTTATATCCAATGCGTTTAAATTGTGCCTGTTCACATATGAGCACTTACTATTTCCTTTAATATGAAGTGCTTTCAGTTGGAGAGATATCTATATAGAGCAGTATTCCAAAATGGCTTCTACCACAAAGCAGGAATGTACGCCTGCTGCTGGGTGAAAAGGCTGAATGCTGACAGAACACTTAGAAGGTACAAGAGAGCTGCCTGTTTGTTTTTCGGCCCCCTATTTGTCAGAAATTGACCTGAGTTTAGTTAGCGACTGGAATGATTAGATATTTTGTTTGTTTTTTGCTATAGACTTGCTGTACAATGACCTCCTGCATTGAATCTGTGTTTGTTTGCTGCCTTGCTGGTGCAGAACAAACCTGATTGGACTGTTCCGGTGTGTCCCTGTCTCATGCATGGTATATTGCTGCCACTACCATACGAGCCTGTCCCCCCTTACTATAAATAGCATAAGACTCACTTGAGAGGTGGCGCATGTCAGGGTTTGTATATCCAAGGTATTGACCTCAAAAGTGCCGAGGCCGACGTTACCATTAGGAGCACGAGCCTGAATCATGAAACCTTTGAAGTCTTTTCCATCTTGCTCTTTGCTGAGAGTAACTAGAAGAGAAAATAAAGAATGTGAATTAACATGGGTGTGAGTTTAAAAACTATATCTAATTTTACTGGTTTTGTCGATGTTTACAGCACATTCACAAACTTGTTTGACATGTGAGGGTCTTTTTGGTTCCTTTAACCTCCCTGGCGGTCTGATTATTTCCTTTTTTGGTTCTATTTTTTTTAATAGTTTTTTTACTTTTAAATTTCCCGCCGGTTCCGCCCCCCTGCTACGCGGACGCTCGCAAGGGACGCAACCCGGAAGATGGATGCCAGCATCGGCCAGAGGACACAGCGGGGATCGTGGACAAGGTAAGTAACACGCTGTGTAATCTCGAGTGTGGCTCGGGGTTACCGCTTTAGGTAATGAAAATTAACCCCGAGCCACACTGGGGATTACCGCCAGGAAGGTTAAGCCCACATCACCATATGGTGTTTAGTTTTCTGTTTTGAAGTGTATCTAAACCCAAAAACAAACATTTAATATATTGCAGCTTACCAGTCAATAGACATATTGGCTGCATCAGACTTTTATCCCCTTTCTGTCCCTCCGTGTCTACGCTATTACATGGTGGGTTGATGGATGGAGTATGTTCACACAGGAAAGATAAGGATGTTTGTGCTTTCTTTTTAAGCTCAACCGATATTTTCTGTACTTGCTGAAAATATACCTAGCCTGAAAAATGAAAACTAATGCATTCACCACATCTAAGAGGCAAGAGCTGGTGAGCTGCAATAACATTTTTATTTTTGGATTTAGATAACAAAAAATAAATTAGCTTTAGATACACTTTAAATCTATAAAGATGCAAGTGAATTGTTTTATGTATAGTTAGTAATTTATTGTGCACCACCTGATATAACATCAATACAAAGGTGAATGAGGTTATGCGGAGTAGATAGATACCCACCATGTCAGGGTTAAAAATTGCATGCTCCTGTGAAATGGTGACAAAATATGGTACCCCAAATTGTCCATGGGCTACACTTTAAAAGCCTGTATAATTATTGTGCGCCAGGGACGTGTGGGAAGGGGAGGCAGGTGAGGCAGAGCCTCACCTAGAATTATGGAGGAAAAAGCTGTCAGCTGCACACATGAGGATGACAGCTTTTTCTCCATTCAGATCGACATCTAACAAGTTACACAGCAGGGAAATTCTCCCCGCTGTGTAACCTGTTATGGACGGAGCCCTCAGCAGCGAGGAGCAAGTCCCTCCCTTCCTCCTTTACACTAGCTTGGGGACGGGTTGGGGGTGGGGCTTCGTCCGCCAGGGGGCGTGGCTTTGTCAGGCTGGGACGGGCTTGGGCGTTCTGGGGGCGAGGCTGGGAAATTCCTCACCCAGAACAAGAGGAACCGCACATCACTGTTGTGTGTACTCTGGCGCACCGAGCGATACCTAACGTGTGGCGAAATCACCGTTTTCCTACGTAGGTGCATCCGATGTGTGTTTACATTAGAATGCATGGGTTTGCCGGGACAGGGGATTTTAATCTTTTTTTTTTATTTATACTTAACTTTACTTAATTTAATTTAACTTTATTTTTTTTTTTCTTTTTTTTTTTTTACTTAACTTCATTGTTATCACGCAGGGGCCTTATAAGCCACCCATGTGATAGCATAGTAGTGGTGACAAGTTTTCTTTAAGGTGACATTAGGGGTCTATTAGACCCCTATTCGACGGAGCCTCTGCTTTCAGAAAATATATAATTATTTGGGGATTTTATGTAATTCCCTAGAAAAAATTCTGATTTTAACATGTGTGAAAAATAAAAAAATGTCTCTACGGAAAAGTGGTTAAGTAACAGTTGTCGATATAAAGGGAAAAAAATAAATTTCAAATACATAGAAACAAATGCCTGTTATCCAGGGATGGATCCTGATAGTTTTTTCTTTTCTTTGACCAGTGAAGGGGAGGGGGGTGGATATGGAGCTGAGTCTGCCCTTCCTGCCAGTGTTTTAAGTGCCCCAGTTGGCGACAGCGCTCACTGTGACCCATTTTCCTTTCTGTGTTTTTAATTTTTACTCCTTTCTTTTCTTTCTCTTCTTTTATCGCTTCAACTTAGAAGAGGATATCTTGATTGAACATTTGAAGGTACAGCAACTGTGAATAGGCACTCTGTCTGCGGATTCTTGCGGCAGGAATTCCAGATGTGTCCGTACAGATGCGGCTGCTGTCACCCTGTCATTTACTTGAATGGACACAGCAACCGCATCTGTGCGGACACATCTGGAATTCCTACCTGCATCTGTAAGCATATATGATACGATTACCTGCAGAATGGGAGCGATGTTTGTCCTTGGACGTAGAAAGCTTGTTTTGCGGGGCAAGCATCTCTCCTAATCTGCAGATAATCCTATCATATACCATAGCATGTGGACAGCCACTTACAGATGCAGCACCTGTCGCCCTGCCATTAAATAGAATGGAAATAGCGGCCGCATCTGCATCCTGCTGCAAGAAAATTTCCAGTAATAAAACAAAAAAGTAGTAAGCGCACTCCTCTGGTGGGAATTGGGAATGTATTAAGAGACTAATGAGGGGGAGCGGTGTGCAGCCTCCATGAACGGGGAGAGGAACCCTGTGTACAAGACAAAGAAAAATGGAAAAGGAAGCGCTACTACCATATAGAAAAAGTGTGGTCACAATAATGGGTGAAATGTAATGGCTAACTCTCAGATGTAAGCATCAAGGATTGAGAGAGCGGCGGAGGATGCCGCTGCAGCGCTGTCACTTCAGCCGCGGCTCGCTGGGTCTATCTGTCAGTGGAAAGCACAGTGGGATGACAGTGTGACGTCAGTGAGGGGCTGGGAGGCAGCTGTCCAATGGTTGGCCACGCGTTTCGAGGCCGGTGCCTCTTTCTCAAGCCGTACAGGAGATTCAAGAACATTTCCAGCTTGCTATGTGCATGAGGCCTTACACATGCAGAATGCTTTGGCCCGTCAACAACATGTTTTCCTCAATTGTTCTTATTAACTGATGTGTTTCTTTTGCGCTGATACTTTGTTAATGTTTTAAATTATTACTATATGTAATGTTTGCATACATGTGTCAAAACCAGTGACTGCTATATATCTGTTTTATGGTTGTTCCTTTTGATAACAGAATACATTTCTTTTGAAGGGCAGATTTGTGCTATCTGTGTTAAAGAGTTCAATTTTAAGCTTGTGCACTCACCTAAAAATGCTAGTTTTCCAGTGTAGTTGGTACTTGTTAAAGTCAGGCTATATGGAGCATGAGTGGTTTGGGGTGTCTTTTGGTGACCAGGAATCATTGTAGAGCAGGAGCCTTCCACATTTCCAGTAGGATAAGCGAGAGTAAGAGTTGGGAAGATGGTAATCAACAGGAAGATTTTCTGTAATGCTAGTTCCATGTCTGCTGTGTCTTTGATACAGACAAATATACATTATAAAGAAATACAGTTGTACTATATATCCAACTAATTTTTTTGAAACAAGCTAATTGCATTTGATATCAGCTCTTCAAGAGCTAATTAATAAAAAAAAATGAAGTATAAATTAGAAAAAATATATGCAACTTCCCGTAGCAAATCATCCAGCTTTCTTCATCTGAGACAAGACAATAGAAAAACTCTCTGGTTTGTAATAATATAGCACATCATCACAGCATTACTATTACTATATACTTCAGTAACTATTATGTACAAATCATCCTATTATCAGTCTGAATTACTGAAATGTAAGGATACAACTTTTTATTTCAGTTTTGGATAGAGAGAAGGGTTTAATGATCTGTCAGATTTTTATTGCTGCCTAGGGAGTTTTCACTCTCTGATTGTCCTGGTGAACAGTGTTACCAAGACAGAAAGCAATGTGAATTTCAAAATTTTAAGGCCCATTCACACTATAAGTGTTGGGCTGTGCTGGGAAGCCTTGCCCATTTTAGGCTCAACAGGGAGACAAGGCAATTTGCTTGGAGTTTCAAAGATTAGTGCCGTGCTCTATTAAACCAAAACTATTCCATGTAACTTACAATAAATAAAGTACACTATGCCTAAATCCAACATTAGGGCATGCACAAAATATAATTCCTCTACACACCAAATCCTAATCCCTATATAATTATAAATAAATAGAATGTAAGCTTTCATGAGTAGGGCCCTCCTTAACCCCCCTGTATTGAAATTGCATTGTAACGTACTGTCTCCCTGCATGTTGTAAAGCGCTGCACAAACTGTTGGCATTATATAAATCCTGAATAATAATAATAAGCATCATCGTCATGATAATAATAAAATAAATAAATTAGATCCGCCCTAGTACATCATAAAATATTCTTATAGTAATAGTGATAATGTAAGCATCTTGTGGTGTCATAATGTGCAAACCATAAAACCATCTTCCTATTTTCCACCCACAATGAAGTCCATGTGCTCATTGAATAAACCACTTTTCACTGTGCTTCACTTCACACCTTTCCGTTTGGACAACCGCTCGCCTTGCTCATTGGACCTTTTATATATGCAAGTTCTAAAACACTTCATCTCCCTTGTGGGATTTAATGTCAGGGAACAGTACTTCAGCAAACCTTGAATTATTCCACCGAGCTCTAAGAAGAAACATACAGAATACTCTCATATTGCCTTCTTTTTTAACAAACATTTATGAAGACATTTAAAACTCATATTTAATATTGCACATTTACCAGTGCACATGGTATAGCGCTATTTGGTTGCTGACTGTTGACCCCTGGTCAGGTCCATCCCCTATAATGAGGCAGCCAGTCTCGAAACATCGCTAAAGTTATGTGACACTTTGATGGTCAATAAAGAAGATTGACTACAAAAGATTCTGGAGTGCAAGTGACTTTCTACCAGTTACAGTTAAGGACCATACATGTCTCCCCTCCCAGCTGAGCAGTGTACCACCAGGACCCCATTAACAAACCACTAACACCCACCTGCCTCAGGCGGCGAATATACAAGGGACAACCCTGCCCCTGGTTGTAATGCCGATTCTTTGACCCTGACTCAGTGTGCAGTAGCAGGTAGGGTAGAGCCAAGTGATGTCAGTACATAGGAGGAAAATCATAGTGGTCAGAAGAAATCTGGACCAGCATTACAACCAGAAGTCCGCTAACAACTAGTTCTGTACTATGTGCACTGGTGTATGTGCACTGGTGTATGTGCACGAGAGAGAGAGAGAGAGAGAGAGAGGGAGA